AAAAAATTAACAAGGAAGGGGGGATCGATTTTAATGGGTGATTGTAGAAACATGAAATGAGCTAATAAAAGCCAAAACATATGTCATACCTACTGTGAGTCTGAGACACAGAGAGGTCAGATACTTTGCCTCAGGAAACACAGCTAGGAAATGGTAGAAGTGGAACCTGAACCCAGTGCTTCTGGGTTTTGAGTCTGTGTTTTTTTATGGTCGAGAAGCTGCTTAGTAGTGCCTGGTCTGTAAAAAGTGCACAGTAAATGGAAACCATGCTTGTAATTTTCTTATGATTCTAAGGCTTAGGTGCTTCACTCTCCTTAGGGACACTTCTATAATATTGGAAGAGGTGTAGGAACAGATATAAGTGGATAATAATTATATTATTCTCCTGTGCCAAATTTTATTAGAATATTGGAAAGCTTATTTCAAGAGATTTGCAAAGATCTAGGCACAAAGGAAATAATAAAACCATGGGTTTTTAAAAATTAATTCAGCAATTATTGAATTTCTACTATGTGCAGATCACTGGGATAACAGAAGTAAGTAAGATAAATAAAACAAGGGTCCTGTCCATGGAAGAGCTTAAAACCTAGAACTGGTCACACACAGACAGAGTGCAGAACACTTAATAGGGTGGGTGCAGGGGGCGAAGCGTGGCCTGTCGAGGCCAGGCTGTACTTGAAGTTGTAAATTAGACTCCTCGTGTTGTCGTAGCTGTGTGCGGTGGGCAAATCACTTGAGCTCTCCAAATCTCAGGGTTTTTATTTATTGTTGTTCGGGTGACGATTGCTAGTATTGTTTGTTTTCTAAATCTTTAAATTGGAGATAACTATGCCTCATTCATATTGCTTAATGAGAATTAAAATAAATGATACAAAGGAAAACTCTGTCCTTAGCAGAGAATAAATATTCAGCAAATAGCTATTGGGAATCATGATGCTTCAGAAACTTGCCTGCTTGGCACTGATCGACAGGCTGGCACCCTCCAGCAGGAGACCAAGGCGGGAGCCCTTCCTGTGCTGTGCCAGGGCCTCCGAGAAGCAAAGGATGCTGGGGCCCAGTTACTCCTTAGAATGCCGAGCTGAAGAGCAAACAGCAGCTCCTCCTGGGAGGCCAGTACAGGGCTTCTCACGGTGATTCCCTTTCCACCTTTTGGGTTATGCAGATACAAAAAGAAAGCCAAAATAGAAGAAAGATAGCATATGTGGTTTCTGATTTTGTTATATGTTTATGAGCCCTGATGAGGGGATCATGCTCTGAGCTGGGTCAGTCAGGGAAGGCTTCACAGAGGAAGAGCAGGAGTTGAGTGGGGGTGGGGGGGGGGCGGAGAAGCCATCTGTGAAGGAGCATGGCGAGAGTGCCAGGCTGAGGCACGAGACCTGGAGGGGAGCTTCCTGTTTGCTTGGCATTAGGGCAAATCACTGCGGCCTCCTGAGTCTCAGAGTCTGTGATTCTAAACCAAGGAGATCAGATTATATTCATAGTTCTCAAATCTGGATGGCTGTCATATTCCTGTGGAGAGCTTCCTATTAAGATATCCAACCTCAGAGCACTAAGGTCCTTTTAAAAGCACCCCAAGTGATTCTAAGGTACAGTGAGTTTAGAGAAGCAGTGAAGTAGGTGATCTCTTAGGTTCTGTAAAATACGTGCTGAAGGCCACCTAGTCTGGCTTGACTAGTGGGTCCTTGGGTAGTTTAAATCTTGGTCTGAAGCACATCCTAGAGGGTTTTAAACTAACAGCCTATCTGTAGGCAGTAGGGCATTAATGAAAATTTTATATAAAGGATTTTTATATAAAGGAATGTATTGAAAGCAATGCTCTAGAAAAGAATGTATCTTTCAATTGCCTATATGTAGTAAAAGGAGAAGAGAGAGGGAAGTAGGAACTGATGGTGAACTAAGGGTATGAACTCTGGCGTTAACAAGCAAAACTGAGTAAGGTGCTCTCTGGACTGCAATAACCCAGTGGAAGTGTAGGACTATTGCTCTGCTCCTGGTTTTTAATATGGGATAATTATCAGAGAAATGTGGGCTGTGATGTAGAAATGAAAAGGGATGCTATTGAATTCAGAAACAGGATGAAATGAATTCAGTTCTCACGTGGTAATTGCATTACTATGTGGCCAGGGAAGGCTCCATTTAGATGAATTATCTGCTATAAGTTAGTGTGATAAAGCCATATGAGTTTCATAAACTTCCACCAAGGGTGAGCAAAAGAGAGACTACAGAACTAATATATCTTTTCTACTATTCCTCTACCTTTCAGAAACAAAGCAACAATAGAATTGCCACTCATCAATTCCTTTGGCTTTTGCAAAAAGCATTTTAAAATATCTGTTAAGGTGGCATGTGCCTGAACCCTATTGGTGTCTAATGACTGACTCTCAAAGGCTCCCACAGAAAAGCAGAGTCATCCAAGAGTGCTGAGCTAAGAGGAAATGTCCGGTCTGCCTGGCGGTATTTGCATCTTGTAAAACTTATATACTAAATGAAATTACAAGATACGATGTTTTTCTGAAATTGTGTCAGTCCCTCAAGAGATTAATAGAAACACAGTTTTCCACAAAGACTCTGAGTCTCCTATGAATCACTTTGATGCTCACTTTTCTATTGTGTCACATGAATGTCAATGGGTGACCGCAAGTATTTATTCATAGACTGTATTAATTGGTAATTAATCTGAGTTCAGATATAAAAATTTAAGTTGCCATTCTAACTTGATGTGAACCATGACAAATGAAAATCATTAAATTTTACTATCAAATTGTTGTGGGTTTTTTCTGCTGATTTTGACGAATATCCAAGCTAAATTATGCCCTAAGGGACTTAATTTTCAGACTTTATTTCTTAAGTCCGTATCTTCCTTTGGATTTGGAGGCAGATTTCCAAATTACCATAATAAAGGTTTATGAAATCCTTGGAGAAAGAGTTCTGCTAACCATGAAATCAATAGTAAAATTACCAGGATTAAAAAAATAAGTCATTACTTAAAAACATGTGCCCATGAAAGAAATACATCAAGATATATTTTAGAATAGAAACCCAGGAGTATGTAAACATGGTGGGCTTCCACAGAGTCTTACAAAAACTCTTTAAATATTTGTTGACTGAATGAATCAACAAGAAAGCAACATTAAGGACACTAAAATCAGCAAGAAAGCAGCAATGCAAATTTCTTATAACTATGCAACTTTCAAGCCACATCCCAAGGACGATTTACTTAAGGACACAGGCCTTACACCTTGATACCAAGGGCGAGACTGTACATCGAGAGGGGTCCAATAGGAATTAGCCAGGCTCAATAATGAGAGGATTGCTTGGACAACCACCTCCCTTGGGAAATAGCTAACACATAATAGGCAGTGATAAATCTTTGCTAAATTGAATAGTTAAATGTAAAGTCTATGCTGGAAATGTGAGTTTTGTTTTTTTCCCCTAGGTGTGTGATAAAAGACTATCTTCTAGGTAAAGTCACCTTATAATATGCTGCTTCTAGCACTTAGAACTCAACCATGTGGCGTCAATATTAGTTTTCCTTCTATAGATCTTTAGCCTACAGAGACTTAAAGCCATAGGGGTTTGATGGCAGGAGCTGCTCTCAGCTGCCTTTGATAACTCATGGAGCAGTTATGCCGAAATCTCGGTATGTGTACAAATTACTTGAGCATCTCTTTTAAATGCAAGATCTGATTCATTGGGTCTGGCTCGGCTCTGAGCTTCTGCATTTTTAACAAGCTCTCCTAGGTGATGTTGATGATACTGGTCCGTGAATCACACTTTGAGCAGCAAGGTCAGAAGAAAGAGATGGATTTCTAAGTAGTTAGAATAAACAGATGTGGTGTGACGGCAGAGCACTGGGTCTTGACTCAGAAGACCGATTATGTGAATATGATGAGTCATTTGACTTTCCTGAATCCAAATGTTCTCATTCGAGAAATGAGTATAACAGCACAATAATACCTGCTGCATGGAATTGTTGTGAGAACTACATTAATAATGTTATGTGAAAATTTACCAGAGCATATGGTAGATATTCATTGCTGAATACGTGGTTGCTGAGCCTAAATAATATAAATATAAGCGCACAACTCAGCACTGGAAACTGGTAAAGATAGGGGTACCCTTCAGCTGTGTGCTTTCTATAGTTCCTGGGGTTGTCAGTGTTTGTGGAATTGTACTAGTAGCAAAGTTGATGATGGTTGTCAGTGTGCATGTTTGTCTTCAAAGATAACTGATCCCAGGATAACGACCCAGTGTTTCTCCATGGCACTGACAGGAAAGAGAACTGTCACCCAAAATAATGGTAATAACTTTTGGACCTTAAGTCCTCTTAGAAACCAGAAGTGTAATCACTGGGAGAAGATGAAAATGAAGGACACAGACTCAGCCTCAATCCTCAATAAAAATATGATGCTACAATAGCTGATGATTCTTTGCCAGCCAGTAGTCACAGTATTTTCTAAGTAATTTCTAAGTAATTTCTAATAAAATATGTCTCTCTGAGTTCTATCAACAAAGACTAAGATGGGCCGTTTGGCTGGCTTGTCTCTGGTGGTGGCTCAGCCACCAGAGGGAGGCAAGCCTGCAGTGGTACAACTAGTACTGCAGGGGCTCAAACCATCTTTCACATCGCTGCAAACTGTCTCCCTTGCCACCCAGGTAATGCCCCCAAATTGCTGCTCTGAGGGTCTAACTTGCTGGTTAACAAACTTGTAAAATATTAACTAAAATGCTCACAAAGTGCATAGCAGGAACTAGAAGGTAGAAAAATCAGTGAATAGCCTGCAGCATTATTTACATCTTACCATCTCTTTCCGTTGAGAATTCAGACAGAAACTGTTAACGACTTGGGGCATTGTGGTTCAATTCATTTGTAATAAAATCCAGAGTGAATCGGTTAATCTTTACTCAAAGAAATAAGACCTTAAAGTCTAATCGGAGAATTTAAGCAAAGTTTTTTTAAAAGCTGTTCTTCCCCGCCTCCCTCCCCTTATAACCTGTAGGTCCCAGGAGAAAAAAGAAGAGGCCATCAGCTTACTGAAGGATTCCATTAAATATGGTCCAGAGTTTGCAGATGCGTATTCAAGCTTAGCTTCTTTATTGGCCGAGCAGGTGATGATTTCCATTTAATTTTACATGTTTTAAATTTTTTTATTGTTCTATGTTTGAATTAATATTGCATATTTGATATCTGGTACTGATGGTTTAGTTTTTAAGCTCATATTGGACAACTAATTTCTATGTCAATTTTCTTCTTCGCAGAAATTATAAGCCTAGTATTCTCACTCCAATATTCTCTGTGTAGTATACGTGGTCTTTAGACCAAGATGGTCCATTATGGACCGTTGATATATTCTCTATCACTTTGGGACAAAAATCTGTCAAGAACAGTACATGGTATTTGCTTGTTTTCTTACTATTTACTTATCAGATGTTTTCTGGGGAATGATCAATGTACTAAGATCTCTAAATTCAGTGTGGAACCAATTACCAACCATCTTATGGATCCTATGTCTTAATACCTGTTAGAAGATCACAGAGGCTTGTAGGACAGGCTCCTAAGAGATCGCATTTCTCACGGCATAAAATAGAGGAGTACTTTCATTCCCTTCCTTTATTGTGTCTAAATGATTTGATACCACTTTTCAATGACCTGGATGCATGCCCCCAGCTATGGGGAAACAAATGTAAGTTGTCTTCTCGAAATTGATGATATTGTTTTGTTGACACACGTAAGTGCCCTCAATAATCCTGCTATCACACAACTGCCAGATTGTCTTAAAATCAAACTCAACCTTTGGAAGATACCCTGCAATTTTCAGTTGGCTTGAATGTAATGATTTTGATATTGCATGTCAGGTACATAGGGATAAAATCTGCCTGTGAGAAACTTTGGAGGTTTCACCAAGAAACAAAATTGGGACATTCTATGGATATTTAAGTGTCAGAAATGATAAGCTTAGTTGTCTCTCTCATAGTCTCCATTTAGTATAGGTGGGCCTTAGAGAAAAGCCCATGTCTATAATTGTTATTTTAATGCTGGTTTTAGCACAATATTTAAGCTAAAATGATGATGGTCATGTTCTAGGGTGTATGCTGGCAGTCTGCAGCTGCCTTCAGCTTGTGCTGAAGCAGACACAGTAGAGCTTTTCTGAAGAAGACATTGAATCCTTCACTATTTCCGCTTCTCACCTCAGTATGGCTCCTTTATTTTCATAAGAAGACCCTGGTCCTGCCTCTGCATGGCTGGTTATCTCGCAGCTGCTCAGACATGCCCAGCACGCCTCTCTCAGCGCCTTTGCCCTAACTCTTCCCTTTGCATGCAACACTTTTCTCCCAGATATCTTAGCATTTCCTTTCTCATATTATGCTGATTTCAGCTCAAACATTACCACATCAGAGGCCTTGTCTGCAATCATGCTTTCTAAATAGCAACCTCACACTGCCCACCACGTTCTCTCTCACCTTGCCCTGCCTTACTATTCCCCATAACATTTATCACCATCAAACGTATATTTGTTGGTGTTCCTTCTCCCTCTACTAGAATTCTTTACTCCACGAGACTGGCTGTCTGTTTTATTCATGGCCATATTCCCATACCTCTCATGTTATATGCAATCAGTAAATTTTGAGTGACTAAATGAATCAATACAAACTAAAGAGCATGTAGTTCCTCCAATCCAGCACTTATTCTACATTTACTCTTCTGTTACGAGGAAGGCTGGGCATGTGGGCCACACTGTTTTGTGACTACACTGTGCCTGAGAATGATGCTCTTGCCCTCCATTGAGGGACCATCTGAGGAACAGCCATGTGAAATTATCACTGTATAATGATAGGGTCAGGGATGGGATTGAGGCCAGCACCCCCTATTTCATTCAATGACTCCTTTATGAGGACT